ATTTCTACCTTTTTAAATTATCCGCAAAACTAAAGAAAGAAGAAAATACCTGGAAGGCCATCTGTCTTAACCAGCGGGGAAAACGAGCAATTTGGAGGATCATTTCAAATTCCTGTTTGACAGCCTGGCAAATCGGTCAGAGCGCTAGAGTGTAAACCAACATAGAAAAGTAAAGAGGGGCATAAATGATGCCACGCACATCCAGAGTAGAAAAATGAAACGGATACCACTGCTAAATAAATTTCATACGAAACAGTGAACAGTACGCCCATAACCATATCTACTGGAAGGAGAAATAGAGAAAAATTTTATTTTCAGTTATAAAAAAATTACCCTCAACGGCCCTGATGGCTGGACATAGTATTTCCACGACCAACTGAAAAAAGAAATAGTATTTTCGAAAAGGCAGCTAGTGGAGGAAGTATGTCGGTATGGGGTGGCATCGGTACAACAAGAAAACAGAAATTGCTTTTGTTTCAGGTAGAATGAATTGTATCCAATATTTATAATTAAAAGGAAATCAATTAACTAGGTACTTAGAGACAATATAAAGTGAATAAGTAGGACAATGCTCTTGCCCATACAAAGGGGAAAAAGCCTTTTTTTCAAAAAGAAAAATCAAGTTTTGGAAAGGCCAGTTAGGTTTCCAGATTTGAACACAATTGAAATGTCTGGGAACATTGTCAGGGCTGCAGCCAGTTTCAGAACACAGAAGATATAAAATGTACGATCTAAGAAAAATGAAAAAAAAGAAACTTTCCCAAGATGTTCATTGCCTCAACGACCTTCCAAATCAAAGCTAACTAGGCTGCAGAAAGGAGGTGGTGGTAGAATTATTTGTCATTCGTTTTAAGTGATTCTTAAATTTTATTTAAGTTAATTCTGAAGATGTGCTGTCCTTTTGTCCCACCGCAAAATTAATAGTTACTATTATTATTACACTTTACTGGCAGATAATCAACAAGATAGACTTAAAATTTAATAAAAAAGTTATTTATGAATAAAAAATTAATGGAAACAATAAAATTTAACAACTAACCAAAATATTAGGGTGAGCTATCTACTTGTCCCGCATCTTAATTTACAAACTTACCAAAGTAATAAACAAGTTGGTCGTTTCCCATCATTTTAATCGGGCTATCCTTGATTTTTTGGCATTTCGGCTTTTGCCATTTTTAGTGCTCGGTTAGTGTGCCTTCTTTTTTCCACAGTCAACTACACTACCCGCCAAAAATATTGCAACACCATAAATGTCTAATATATAAATATATGTATATATACTACCTACTGATAGAAACAATGAAATGCACCAAAAAAAAGTTGATGGTTCCTTTGTTGGTAAACAGTAATTAATAATGACCTCATTAAACTCTCATATGACCACTAATCTATACAAATATAAACAAAACGTGGGTTAAGGTCCAAATCTATATGTATATATATTTTAGTATATATATGTACTAAATATCATGTATATCTCATATGACCACTAATCTATACGAATATATATATGCTATACAAATATAAGCAAAACGTGGGTTAAGGTCCAAATCTATATGTATATATGTATATGTTAGTATATATATATATATATATATATATATATACGTTATGTTGTTTAGTTTACCAGTGGTTTTGATTGTCTTTGTGTTTGTGTGTAGGCGTTGTTTTACTATGATTTTCTTTTTATGTAGTACGTGTTTGTATTTCT